TTTTCCTGTGGGGCTGGGGGCACACACACAGGAAGGGCTGGGTTGTGTTGAAGGTTGAGGGCTGAGACACCTCAAACAACTCCAATAAAAAAAACAACTGCAAACTTAAACACTGCAACTAAATACCCCACCACCAGGAAAATTAAAAATGCTTTCAGTAAGGGAACACCTTCAACTCTTAAAAATGATGTCTGTGCTTTGAAAAGCCACAGGTCTGCCTTGCTTTACGACACAGAAAGACGCAACCAACTCCTGTGCCCATCCGCTGCCCATCCCACAGCAGCGCACCCATCAGTTCTGCTGCACACAAACCACACCAGGAAAGGGAAAAACTCCTCATTAATGCTTAATAAATATCTGAAGAGGGTCAGGAGGAAGGAGCCAGGCTCTGCTCTGGGATGGCCAATGCCAGGACAAGGGGCAATGGTCCCAAGCTGGAGCACAGGAGGTTCAAGCTGAACATGAGGCCAAAGTTTGTGAGTGTGAGGGTTCTGGAGCATGGCCCAGGCTGCCCAGAGAGGTTGTGGAGTCTCCTTGTCTGCAGACACCCAAAGCCCTGGCCGTGTTCCTGTGTGACTGCTCTGGTGATCCTGCTCTGGCAGGGGTTGCACTGGGGGAGCTTTCCAGGGTCCCCAAAGCCCCCCAGGACCGGGCTCAGCCCCAGTTCAGCTCCAACCTCACCTGTGCGATGCAAAAGCCGAGCCCCCGCCGGTTCCTCTGCCCAAAATGCAAAGGGTAGGGGAGCAATTACACCTCAGAATCAATTGCATTTCCCATCAAGAACGTTTTACTACGTATTTTATTACATCAATGGCTTGAAAAAGTTTTATTCGATGTCAGCAAACATTGGAAATCATAGAAAAAAAAAATGAAGGGTGGCAAATTTTCACACAAAGGAATTTACCCCACTAGAACTCCTCGTACAGTAAAAGAACTCAAACCCAAATGGGACTCTTCAGTGGCTAAGCGATTTTATAATGCTATGAACATTCATCACAGTAAGTGTGCTGAATAATAGAAAACAGGCAGAAAAGACATTTAAAATATTACTTACAACAGCATTATTACAACATACTTTCTTTTAAAATCCCAACAAGTATTTTATCACTTCAAAAGCTATACAGCATTTCCATTATATTTGCAAACTTAACCTTATACATCTTTTAAAATCTTGAAAAAACTTCTTTTAAGCAATCTATAAGCAGTTAACAAAAATCGATAAAATCTACATAATGGAATACTATACACTCCAGTATAAATTTCATTTTAGGAGAATATGAATGTAAACACTCATTATTATACAACATGCATAGACTATACTGACCTTCCATCTTCTCAGCTGTAACTTTTGCTGCAATTGTGCTTTACTGTCGACAGGAAAAGCTGCGTTAATCCAGGGAGTGGCAGAAAGTATTCGCTTTCGGGGCATTGCACAAGATCACCACATTTCGGCTCGCTGGAGACAAGGCTGGAGCTGAGAAATCTCCTTTTTCAAGAGCAAAATATCAGGCCACTGGGGGCTGAATGGGCTACGCATGATTTTCTGCGGACCGGGAGAATCAAATCACGTTATCGGAGAAGTTTCCTAGCGGTTTTCGGGCGCTTCGTTAAGCGGGAGATCCCTGTGCCCAAACCCAGCGATCGGGTCAGGGTAAAACGCACCGCTCGGCTCGTATTTGGTGTGCACGGATACCTACGGCATCTCAGTGACTGAGAGACTCCAAACTGGGCTTTAAAGTGACAGTGAGCGGGGTTCAATACACAACGTTTTCTGCGTTTGGGCAGGAAAAGAGGAGAAACGCTCGTCGGGACCTCGCTCGGAGAGAGCGAAGCGTTTCGCAATGATATTCACTATTACAAAAGTGTTCTCGTGGATCCTTATGGGGTCTCTTCCTGGCTGCAAACTTGTAAAAATATATTAAGAATTCATTATCCCCATTGGTATTAAATATCTCGAGAGACAACCCCTGTGGTTATGGCTACTACGGTTGTAAGCATCTGATTGTACTCCGTTGCTGTATCGTTAAGCACAACTGAGGCGTGGATTTTATTTTTCCCTTGGTAATAAGATTTATCTTACAAAAACTGATCACTGCGTCAAACCAGTTAACCACGAATATTCAAGTAACAAGGTTGTTTTAATGGAGAAGCGACAAACAAAAGAAAAGGGAAGTTACACCGAGCACTCGTACACGACTACGTCAAAATTAAATAGAACGAGTGAAGTCCGCTGGTGCGTAATGCAATACACTTTTACCTCTTTAAGACCTCTACAGCTAAAATTTAAACTATCGTTTGCTTGAACCATACCGTCTGTTGCACAATAACTTATACGCAGGAGAAATAAACGTCCCGTTTTCCACAAAATATATATAATTATGACATTCACACTGATAGTTTAAGAAACAAAACTGAATGAAGATGCTATCTTAGGCGGTTATCTTTGTGGACCCCTCCTAATGCAACCGGTTGATGTATCTAATGCTTGACCCCTTTAAAAGAGGAAAGAAAAGGGCCTTCACCTGAACAAGACCAAACCATTTAAAAACTTCCAAGAGCTAAAATGATTTTATCGCCTTTAAAAAGAGAGTTAAAGAGAACGTAAAAACCCTAAGTGTTTCAAATACAGGGCCGTTACATTGTATGTCTCCACTACAAGAAGAGAGTGGTCAACTGAAGAGTAATCAAACGACTTTTTGCTTCCTAATACCATGAATTATACACGTTTTCCCCCCTACCCCTTGGGGATGAAGCCAAAACACAACTTTTCTGATCAGAAAATGGACAGATGGGAGGGCAAAGAGGGATGGGAAGTCCTGGCAGGTGACTGGCCGTTACATTGTATGTCTCCACTACAAGAAGAGAGTGGTCAACTGAAGAGTAATCAAACGACTTTTTGCTTCCTAATACCATGAATTATACACGTTTTCCCCCCTACCCCTTGGGGATGAAGCCAAAACACAACTTTTCTGATCAGAAAATGGACAGATGGGAGGGCAAAGAGGGATGGGAAGTCCTGGCAGGTGACTGAGGTGGCCTCTCCTGAGGTTCCCCTGCCGGGACTCGAGCTCACCCAACGCTCTCCCTGCAAGGACCTGTCCTGTGGGGACCAGCACTGGTGATCCTGCTCTGGCATTTCTGGTTGAGTCCCAGAGGGTTTCTGGTTGAATCCCAGAGGATGTCTAAGGAGCGGCGTTGCTCACACCAGAACTGTGCTACGTGGCCGTCTTTAATCCCAATTCTCACCGCTACCACCCAGTGTCCTCTCCCACCAGGGACCCCCAGCTCCAGGGGGCACAGGGCTGAGGGGACATCTCCAGGGCCACCAGCACAGGCGCCTGTTCCCAGTTGCAAATTTGGGGTTACAGGTTTTGGCTCCAGAGGACAGGGAATGGCTCCCTTCCATGCTCCCATCGCCTCCCAGGGATCTCGCTGGAACTACAGGAATAGGACTGCACCTGAAACGGGCCCTTCTGGGGCTCTGCACTTGCCCTAAGTGCCCATCGGCTCCTCACCTGCGTCACTGCTCCATTTCTGATGTTAAATTCATTTCCTCACACAAGGCCCAAGGAGGAGACAACCTCAGGGGTGCATGAAGCCACCTCCATGGGCTGTGTCCCCAGTGCAGAAGGAGCAGTCCCAGCCCTGTCACCTTCCCTGGTGCTGTCACCCTCCCTGCTCTCGGCACAGCGAGCGGAGCCACCACGGCACAGAGCACAGCACAGCTCAGCAGCGCAAGCATCAGCACCAAATTGGGGGCCAGGCTCTGAGCTGCAGCCCCTCTGCTGCAGCCCAGGCCGTGGTCCAGCTCTTTTCAGGATACGGTAAGAGGCTGCACATCGCTGCGTGCCGTCTTGGCTTGAACCCTCTGCAGAGAGGCAAAAAAGGTCCTTTTTTCCCCCCCTGCAAAGACCCCTGGCGGTTTCCTCCCAATGAACCATTTTTAAATGCTTTGTGACTAGTGTTATTTCGCAGCTTTCCACTGGCCAAGCAGTAATACTGCTGCTGCAAACAGCAACCTCCTCGTTCGAGGCGCCTCGTACTGGTTCCAGTTCAAGCCAGCTACAGGGACCACACAGCACAGGGCACCCCCCCGAGCGGAGGAGGGCCGGGGGTTCGAAAGCTGCATGCACCAAGTATTTGGAAAAGCACCTCTTGAGATTTTTTTAAATTGCATATTTTGGTTCAGAACGTGAAAGCGATGTGTGCTTCGGGAAGGGTTCAAATGGCCAATGAATTTAACCCGGTTCTTTGCCATTAAACTCCAAAGAGACCCCCAAAAAAACCCAAAAAAGCTACCGGGAAGTTGGATTTTTGGGCTCCAACCCTTGGCCAGACTCGCAGTGGGAGAAGGAGTTTGATGTCTTTGGCAAACAGCGCCCTGAAGAGGAATGAGACACTGGGACAGGAAGCGACCTATGGGAGCCAAATGTAAAAAAGGCACATATTCCAAAAGGAGAGGCACCAGAGAAAGTTGTTTTGACTTAATCCCGCAGAGGATCAGGAAAAAGAAAGTCGGGTAGCACTCATTTAACAAGTTACAATGCGAACGCTGAATGCCAGGGGTTAAATAGCGCGTCAAACAGTTCCAGGTTACGCATTCCCTTTTGCACTAAAGAAAAGCCGTTAAAATATACAGGAATAAAACGCTCAATTAGGGAGCTTTCTACGAAGCAAGCGCGCACACAGCGGAAAGAATTGCACAAACCAGACGCGTGATGAGTTACGTTTACAACCTTGGGCTGACCAAACCTCCGAAACCGCATCTCCCATCGCGATCGCTCCTCAACGCATCCTGGGCACCTCAGAGCCAACCTGACAGCGCCGGCATCTGCGCAGGCCCCTCCTTTATAGAAAGCTCGCTAAGAATAGTGTCATCGGACGAACACACGGGAAGCGGCGACCACAAGGCCATGCACAGATAGGTACTCGTGCCCTGCGGACCATTACACGAAGCCCTAACGTGTCGAGTTACTGAGGAGCTCCTTGTTTTCGCAGGTTGGTCAAAATTTACAGATGGGCGTTACCGGTTCTAGAAATCCCCGTGCTTAAGCAGGACGTTGGTGAAATGGAGAGCTGAGCTACCTGGGTGCTTTTTTGTTTTGTTTTGTGGTTTTTTTTGGAAAGAAAAGTGGAGGCAGGATGGAGGAATGAGGGGAGATTAAGGCAGATGTAGCACAGGACTGGAAGCGTTTGCCTTTTTTCTTTTTGGTAATAGCTGCTTGTCCACAGATATGATGCAGATGGCTGTCTGAGGTTTGCTAATACCTGATATCCTGGATAACACAGTAGTCAACACAAATTGTTCTAGGCTACAGCACCTTCTCACGAAGCAGATGCGTATCTGACATCAAGAACAGAAGTAGCCTGCAAGGAAGGGGGAGGGGGAAGAAAAAGGAGACGTTTAGTTTACAAAAAATGAATATACCCAGACTTTCTTGCAGCTCCAAACTTCACCCTGGATCCACAACACACAATGCTGGCACACGAGAGGAATTGCAGCCGTTTCCCCTGCTCTGAGCCACACTGGGATTTTGAGGAGTGTAAACGCACCAGGCTGGACGTGATGCTGCTTTGTTATCAGCACTCTCACCTCCCCCTCCAAAAAAACCCAACCAGAGCAACCAAAAAAAAAAGGAACTGTGGCCACTTGCTATGAAAATGCAGTGGAGGGGAAAGCCCAGAGCGCTCAGAGGGTGACAAAGCTCTCAGCAGGCTGGTGGCCAGGGGACAAGGCACCCCAGGGACTTCAGTGTCGGGCCAGCAAAGTCTGCTCCTGGCCACTGAGGTCTGAGTCTGCCTGCCTTGACCAGTCACCTCTGCAGTGACCCCCATGGTAGTGCGACCAGGAAGCCCCTCCTAGCCCACACAGGTCACTTATGTGACAATCCCAAATCCACTTTGTCCCCAGAACTGCTCAGAGGGACACCCAGCACCCTCCAGCACTTGCTCAGCTCCAGCCTGGGCACTTCCCATCACGAATTTGGGGCTCACCAGACCTCACTGTCACACCCCCACTCTTCCTCCTCTCCTCTGCTAATTCATCTGAGACCCTCACTGCTCCAGCTTCCACACTCCACGTCCTCCTGCAACCCTTTTCTTCCTATCTGGAGTGAGACTCCCCTTTTTTGACTGTAACCTTCAGGAATTAGGGTGTATTTGAAGAATCTCAGAGAGGAAAAGCTCTGCACCACCAACAGGCACAACTCACTGGGAAAGGCGGTGACAGGAGCCACACATCCCAAATTCAAATCTCCCAGTTCTGCAGGAATGGGACAATTTCACCCCCACCCTTCTGAGAAGGCAAGTTTTAGAGTCTGGTTTTGTTCAAGTCGTATCTTTGGACCTAGTCCCCACATAAAAGCACCTCTGACAAACACATTATTGGGATTTGTGAAGCAATGAAGTTCTGTTCCCTGAATACCTGAACACATGAGTGAGCCAACCATCACAGGGTAACAAAAATAGGGAGTACACTCAGAAGCCTTCAGTCCATGCGAGACCAAAATCCACCTTACGCTGTTGACTGTGCTTGCATTTAGAAGATACGGCTTTTGTGCCAAGCTGCCTTATAAAATGAGCCCAAAGAGAGCCCTAGATCAGACATGTGTAACATGCAAACCTCCACTGGGGTTTTCTTTTGCAAGATTGTGTTAATATTCCAGTTCTGTGACTAACTTTCATACTTAAAACACTCTGCAGTCTCTTAGTTAAGTTTAAACACACATTGTCTTTGCAGAAGAGTTAACTCCGTGAAGCTCCATCATGGACAGGCTGATTTTAGAATTTCTGTCTTCACAGAAACTGCTGTAAAACCACGGAAACTTTGCCTCTGGGTGATTCCAGAGGGAATTTTCACACACTGGACTTGTTTATAGCTTTTTTCCCTTCCCCTGAGTGAAACCATCATCAAAAATGAAAGAGCAGAGTGGACAGTCCCACAAAGCCCAACCTCCAACAGCTTAGAGAAGCGAGCTGAAGGAAAACATCCCAGATGTATGGGAGGCAGCGACACGTCCACGTGCCGATGAGATACAGCCACCGCACAGTAGATGTTCTCTTTCCACTTTCATACGTGTCTGGAATTCCCAATTCCCAACATGACTACTGGAATCTGTCTATCCAGAGGAAGTGAAATATGCTCAGGTTGAAGACTGTCAATAGTGGCATTTGCAGAGCATTTTTATATATATATTTATATATATTTAATGTATATGTGCTTGTGGATGGATGGATGGATAGATGGATGGATGGATAGATACACACACACATCCTTAACTGAACTGAGCTCAGATTGGGAATTTTATGTGACTCTTAAACTGGATTTACCTCATCTTCCTCTTCGGACATTTTAGTGGAATTATCAGGGGATTTTACAGGCTTCTGGCTATTGGTTCCGTTTGTCTCCTCTTTGCCATGCTCTGCCTCCCACTCCTGTAGAACTTCATCTATGTTGAAGCGACGCCGATAATTTACAAAAAAGTTTTTCACTTGCACCACAGATTTGTTTCCAATCACATCAGAGATTGCTTGAAAGTCTCGGCCGTATTTCCTGATTGCTGAAAGCAACGAGAAAGAAAAGCAAAAGCAACGTTTAATTTCCACAAAGACCACAAATCAGGCTCAAGTCACAGCATAAGGATCTGAAGCGGAGCTTCTGTCAACGTTTCAAGCCTTACTCAGACTAATCCAGGAAAAACAGTGTCTAAATTGGGGAAGAGACAGTTAAGACTTGCCTTGGAGAAGAAAATGGAGCTGTAGTGAAGATGGGCAGAGCCAAACCTAGCAGAGTAAATCTGCCTGCACTGAAGTTAGGCAGGCAAAGAGCACAGCAGTGGCTCCAGCAGAGTTTCACTTTCTGAAAGCTTGCACAAGCAGAGATTATTTGCAAGCATTCAAATCATGCCATTTATGCTGAGGAGGGGAAGGGGGATATTGTTTCCTTGTTCAGCTCTGCTCTTTGGGCATTAATACCCAGCAAAGTAAAATCCTGCATTTGCCACTGAAGGGAAACACGGCTCTGAAATGCAGCAGAGTTTTGATTACAAACAGACTCGTGGTGCCGTACCTTGCACAGCAAGAAGCTGCTCATCTGTGGTCCAACGTGCATTGAATTTCTGAACAACCTAGACATAAAAATCAATTAATAAAATCAGCTTAACTTCATTTACATAAGCAACAACTTTCCCTTTTATCTGAGCTCATCAAAACCTCCCCAAAACACAACAAGGAATTAGCTGCTAGTCGAACTATGCCATCCCTTTTAGCAGCAGCAATGTTTTCAATGTAAAGAGCTGCGTGTGGCATTCGTTCAATTAAGTGTGACACTCACTGCGCTTTTAAATCACGGTAACATGAAACGATGGGGAATGGCCTGAGCAGATAACCAAGAGCCACGGCTTCCACAGCACCCACTTGATTTTATCACAGACACCCGCTGCAATCCTGGTCAAATTATTTCCAGCGTGAGGTGCCAGAGTTGGAAGGAAAACAGCAAAAGCATCAAGTGCCAAGAGAAGGATGGGCCATTAGCAGCCTCTCCTACGTTTCTCGGTATTTAAGGCAAAGCAAGTACCTCTCTCACAAGGGCAGATGGATACAACTTGATTCTCATCTCCCATTTCCACTACACAACAACAGTGAATAAATACGGTAACGGTCTTGATTCACACGGACAATTAATAGGACATTGGTGCCAGTTTACTGGCCACATAAATAGCCTTGGTATGTGAACATGGATTAGGGTTTATATCCATAATAAACGAGGGTCAGAAAATGATCCCACCTCTGGAAGTCGGTATTGTTCTATACCGCCTTCAAGTTTTTCTTTGAGTGCGCTGTTTGTCTGCTTGATGTTCTGAATCTGAAAAGAAAGTTACATCCCTTTAATAAGGAATAATAATAAGAAGAAATAATAATAACAAAGAATACGGAATAATAATAACAACAACAATTAACAACAATAAGGAATAATATCATCATCATCATCATCTCTGCCTTCTTCCAGCAGCCCCAGCAGGAAGCCCACGAGCTCAGCACTCCAATTTTGCTCACAACCTCCCTTTTCCAAAAAGAAAAGTTTATGATATTGGAATAAAGCAATGCAGGAGCAGCTGGCACATCAGGAAATCCCATTTAATTTATTCTCTCCTGTCTGCAAGTTATTCAGAGCAAGAACTGCCCCAGCTTCCAGGTCTGTAGAGCCCAGCATAAGGCAGGCCCTGCTCACAGCAAGAGATGAATCGACGAGCTCCGCTGCTCCCAGAGTGCCAAGAAAAAGGCTCCAGGCCAAAATACCAATTTTATTAAGTTTAATAACGAGCTTGAGCCAGATCTCTGCTTTTAAAACAGGGAAAATGCTCAGATCTAGGAAACAAACTCATGTAGTAAACCTGTCCTTACTAACAGATATTTGAAAAACATCTGTTTACAAAGGCAGATCCATCAGGGAAGCAAGAGGTAGGTACAAAAGTTTGTATGATGCCTAAGAAAGAATAAAACCAGCAAATCTGCCTGTTCCAAAAGTACCACAGGAAAAGGCAAAGGACATTGCTGCAGATGGAAATCAGATACTGCCAAAACCAACGTCTTCTGAGGGACGCTCATGGTTAAGCACAGGGAACTCTGAAGTGAAATAAAAGATGTTCTTAAGTCAGTGCTACGGACTTGTCCTTGCTTCACTTTAGGTACAGAACTTGTTTGTGTCCAGAACTAAAACACGGGGGATGTAAAGCACAGGGCCGCAGCGGTTTCTAGCACAAGGCCAGCAGCTTGTCAGTGAAGCCACATCATGATGTACATAACCACTGCTAAGCTACAAACCCCTGCACTGCCACCAAAACCAGTGGTTACTCTGCAGCTACGCCATCCCTACCTGGCGTTTGATGGAGACCAACTCCATGTCCAGTTGTCTGAGTACAGTGGTAGCAGCTGTGGCGTTGGCAGAAACGGCCTCCACGTCCTCTTGGGACAGGAACATCCCTTTGGGAGGTTTCCTCTTGGCCCTGTTCTTGGCCTGCGTGCTGTGCTTCTCCTTCTTCACCTGAGGAACGGCTTCAGTGGGTGGCACCTGCCAAACAGCAGATATTTCTTTAAAGGTCCCTTCCAACCCAAACCATGCTGGGATTTTATGACTTTTAGCCACCCTGGTGGCTGGTTGTTTTCAAACGCTGAAACCTCTTGTCTTGATTTCACCACCAGGCCTCAACACAGCGCTTTAACAGAGCACCAGAAGGAACCACAGCAGAGTTTGGAGACAAGGGAAGAGCACAACTGGAGGAGTTTACAGAGTTTTGTTTTTCTACACGTCAGACACGAGACAGAATAAACCAAATTTACTTAAAGGTTAAAGGTGCAAGGCGACTCCACAGTAATTCTTAGATCATTATGCAGCTTCTTGGAAGTCAAATGTTCTTGCATAGCACTGACAGATTAACTCTCCCCATTAAACTGATGCAGTTTTGCCCCCAGATAAATTTAAGTCTCTATCAGAAAAGGGAATATTTCACTCACCACTAATTATTTTTATGCCTTCTGTCTAAAGCAAAGAATTAGGCGCGCATCTCCAACGGGTAAATCAGTTCAGACGCTCTACTACAGACCCATTGGGAGCACAGCTGATTCCCCAATACCAAAACCACTTCTGCCAGACCTTATTTTCAACACCCAACTCGTACCCAAGATTTATCACCCAGTGGCTGGAGCCTGGCCAAGAACACAGAGCAGAAGGGTGATGGGGAGAGCAAAAGGGGAGGTCGCACATCTGAGATCTTCCGCTCGATCACTGCCAGCTCTGAACACATTGGCTTCACTTGGCGCTATTGTCTCTCTCCTAATTTGCAGCTACTTGTAGCCTCTACATAGTCGAATTTGCTCATTAGAGACCATTAAAATGCTCCCATTCAAGCACACAAAGCTCTGCCTCCAGAAGACTGAGCACCCCAGCACAGCTGCCAGATAAAAGGTTGTGCCTTCTTCACAGGCTCGATGGCCAGAGCCACCCAGTAACACAGAAAACTGGCCGCTCTCAGCTTGCTTCTTTCCTCCTTTAGTGCAAAAGACTCCATGTCCTTAACACTAAATCACCA